GGTGCAGAACCCTCTGTCAATGTAGGGCATCTCATTTGCAAGCTGAACCAAGCCCGTGTTATGATGGCATCAACAAATAACACACACTCCAGCTTCATGCCTGTCCTCAAACGGGAGGAGCGAGCTGTCCAGATCTCTGCATAAACCCAAATACGACGGAAACCCCCAGAAGATTAACCCTCATTTCACCAGCTGCAATCTATCACTGCTACTACTCCTGCTGCTGCCGGACATACTGTATAATAAAGTTGTGCAGGTTGTTATGGCGCATTGGGAAACGTCTTCATCTACACATCCCTCACAGTATATTTCTGGCAAATCAATGCAGAATCTCCAACGGCAGGTACGTTTTCTGACTGGCTGGCCACGGATGAATGGGGTTGTAGACCAGAGCGTTAAATCACGACAGTAGTAGCATGGCTAAGTGCTGAGTGTGAACACAGGTCAGCAGGCCAGGAGAGCGAGCCTCTGAGAAGTGTTTTATAGTAACAGCAGGAAGGGACTTTATTGAATGATTCATCAAGCGATTGGCATAGAAGCGGGGCTAATATAGACTCTTAACACGCTGCATGGATGGTCAGCCGTCCATGGCAGCTTTAAACCAAACCTGCTGCTTTTGCAATTATGAAAATGGCAGAGTGCAAGTATAGACACCGCACCGTTAATTACCTCATGGCGGATTCAGCGCTGTGTGTCCTGCATCGGTTTACAGCACACACTGCTGAACCTTTAGAACGTCACTGAAAATGAAGCAGATTTTTGCTTGATTTGCGGCTGTTGGTTTGCATTATTGAATCCGATGTATAAGCAAGATGCTGAAAATCAATAGCAAGAAACATAATTCTGTTAATAAAAACATTTGATGTGGAAACGAACACAGAACGTGTAATTTATAGTAGGTTTTTTTTTTTTAATATGTGATTCTGGACTGTAAAACCAATTATGTGCAAGTGTTGGGGGTAACGCATTAAGTAATGCATGTTACGTAATAATATTACTTTTCCAAAGTAACAAGTAATACAACGTAGTACTTTTGAAACTGAGTAATATTATTTGAGTTCATTTTTTTTTAAGTTTACTTCAGTCATAATTATTAGCCCCCCTGAATTATTAGCCCTCCTGTTTATTTTCCCAATTTCTGTTTAACAGAAGATTTTTTTAACACATTTCTAAACATAATAGTTTTAATAACTCATTTCTAATAACTGATTCATTTTATCTTTGCCATGATGACAGTAAATAATATTTGACTAGATATTTTTCAAGACACTGCTATACAGCTTAAAGTGACATTTAAAGGCTTAACTAGGTTAATTAGGTTAACTAGGCAGGATATGGTAATTAGGCAAGTTATTGTATAATGAGAGTTTGTTCTGTAGACTATCAAAAAATATATATAGCCTAAAGGGGCGAATCATTTTTACCTTAAAATGGTGTTTAAATTTTTTTAAAATGCTATTATTCTAGCCAAAATAAAACAAATAAGACTTTCTCCAGAAGAAAAAAATATTATCAGACATACTGTGAATATTTCCATGCTCTGTTAAACATAATTTGGTAAATATTTAAAAAAGGAAAAAAAAATCAAAGGGGAGCTAATAATTCTGACCAACTGTATATTGTGGAATAAAAATTACCTTAGTCAGGTTGAATCATACACCCAATGAGTGAGCGTGCTGGGAACAGACAGTCAGGTAGAGGTAGACCAATTCAGGATTTTTAAACCAGTAAAAAGGTAAAGGAAAAGACTAATGACAGTACAAAAGTAGCATTTGATATTGATATCAGTCTTCTTGGACATTATAAATAGGCTAATAAAAGAATTATTTGTAGGCCTAAATGAGTAAACAATGAGCCCTGTCATACACCCGGAGCGATAAGGCGCAAGACGTGTTTCCACAATGTGTTGCTAGTTTCAGACCAACGCAACCCTAATTTTTCCGTTTTCCGCCATTTGCAAATCTATTTGCGCCACTTTGTGGACACATGTGTGTTCTGATCTGGAAAAGAGGTGTGTTAAGGCGCATTGTTGGCGTGTTGCTATTTTGAGGAACCAAAATAGACTGTTCAATAGACCAGCTGAAAGCAGGTTTAACGTCAAGCGCAGAGCACATCAGTTATGTGCATCACTTACACATTGCTTAAAACACACAGGATGTACAGCAATTCACAAATATCTTTACAAATAAAAAAGAATTAACAAATTAAAATTTTACAAAAATAATCATTTCTACATAAACATAAAAACCCTACCTCCATGCTTTTTTCAACTCGGGTTTTTTTTTTTCAATTTATTCATAACAATTTGCCTCTATATAATGTTATTATTATCATTAGTATTATTTATTAGATGCATATTTATATTTGTTTTATTAAAAACTAGCTTAGATTTGTCCACCTGTCAGGTTTTGGACCATATTGGGCATAGAACATGTGTTTGGATGTAAAACAGTTTTTTGACCACACTTCAATATTATTGTTCATTTATTCGTTTGCTGGAAATAAGAACTGAATTTAGAAATAGTTTTGAAACTAATTTTAATGTTTAACAAATATTATGAAATATGTAGGCGAATGCATGTCTTCAGTGGAGCGCGTACAACAGTGTTTCCTTATCCATGAAAGAGAGAAAGTAAAAGTTAAGGCCGAATGGAGGAGGCTCATTATCCTCTTGCTGCAGATGCTGTTTTCTTAACTGTTTTGAAGTGTTCAGTTTTTCCTCTTCCAAAGTCCACAATGTAAATAGCAAATGCGCCATGGAGCGACGCAACTTACTCTTAAAGGGAATGGTAGAGATCTGATTGGTTTATAATCAAAACACCCTTATAACTCATTAAGAGAATAAGCTCAACCATGTTAGACCATGAGCCATGACGCAAAGTGTATTTTCCCATCCTTAAAATAGCAAAAGTGGATTCTGACAGTCCCTTAATGCTTTTGCGCCCTGCGCTTCAGACTTTGCGACTTGTCTATTAAATTGTCTGAAAATTGTCTTTTGAATATTCTACTTTGCATTTTTAAACAGAACTTAATATTTTGGAAGTGAAATCTGTAAATATTAAATATAAGTATGGACTGCACGGTGGCGTAGTGGGTAGCACGTTCAACTAACAGCAAGAAGGTCGCTGGTTCGAGCCTCAGCTAGGTCAGTTGGTGTTTCTGTGTGGAGTTTGCATGTTCTCCCCATATTTGTGTATATTTCCTCTGCATGCTTAGGTTTGCCCTACAAGTCCAAAAACGTGGTGTAGGTGAATTGGTTAAGCTAAATTGTTCGAAGTGTATGTGTGTAAATGAGTGTGCATGGATGTTCACAGTGATGGGTTGCAGCTGGAAGGGCATCCACTGCATCAAACATGTGCTGGATAAGTAGGTGGTTCATTTCGCTGTGGCGATCCCAGATTAATAAAGGGACTAAGCCGAAAAGAAAATAAATAAATAATAAGTATAAATTTGTGTTCTGGATTGAAATATTCACATCTTAAATAAAAAGCTATGTTTAATTTCTGGATCTAAAATTTATTCGTCATTAAAATGCAAGCAGTTGTTAATTCAACGTATTACTCTTTTCAGTTAGTGCTATTCGACAATACTTTTGGCATTAATTTTGCTCCATATCTCAATAACCACCATCTAGTCTGACACCTCAATCAATGACTTCTATAAACCAGTTCCTATTATTGAAATTAAAAACCTTCAACAGAACTTGTTTAATCTCATTATAATAAAATTGGCATTGTATACTGTACTTACATTTCTGATATACAGTTGATGTCAGAATTATAAGCCCCTTTGGATTTTTTTCCCCCTTTTTTAATTTCCCAAATGATGTTTAAGACAGCAAGGAAACCTTAATAGTGTGTCTGATAAAATTTTTTAAATAAGGTTGATATTATTAGCCCCTTTAAGCTAAATATTTTTTCGATAGTCTACAGAAAAAACCATCGTTATGCAATAACTTGACTAATTACCCTAACCTGCCTAGTTAACCTAATTAACCTAGTTAAGCCTTTAAATGTCACTTTAAGCTGTATAGAAGTATCTTGAAAAATATCTAGTCAAATATTATTTACTGTCATCATGGCAAAGATAAAATAAATCAGTTATTAGAAATGAGTTATTATAACTAGTATGTTTAGAAATGTGTTAAAAAATATTGTCTCTGTTAAACAGAAATTGGGTAAAAAATTAACAGGGTGGCTAATAATTCAGGGTGGCTAATAATTCTAACTGTATGTCGAAGTATTCTAAAAATTCCAATTTCAGCCATATAGAGTCTGACTCTAGAATGAACTGCTTAATGAATCATTTAAAAATGACTCACCCAACTGAATCAGTCAATGAATCCTACAAAGAGTTGAATCGTTCAGTCAAATTTCTTTCTGTTAAACATATATTCTTTCAAATAAGCACAAACATTTAATGATATTGATGAATATTTACAACACAGCTTGTAAAAAAAATAATGAAAAGTATATATACAAACACACAATGAATACTAAAGGGTGGAACAGAGTTATGTAGGAAAGCCTGATCTGATGTCTGTTGTTTTTTAACAAATATATATTTTATAATGAATGTTAGGATTATAAAATATAAATCTGTTTCAGTGTCTTGAGCACTTTTATAGAGGTTTTCTCTCATGATTTTTTATCTAGCACTACAATATGAGAGGAAATCTCAGGAGATACTGTAGGTTTCACTGCATGGAGAAGGGTTAGAGTTTCACCGCACACACACACACAAACATCAAGTACAAATGTGAACACTGATCAGCCATTCCAGTTCATTGCATTTTACACTGGAAGAGCTTCGCTATAAGGGGAGATAAAACATTTATGGTGCAATTTGTGCCTGTTTCACCAGACTAAACAAACAAAATGGAGACAGATTGAACAGCTACAATGGCATGGGCACAAGCTGTCCGATGCTCAAGTTGTCCATAATTGTCTTTGATGGCAACAGCTTGTTTGGATGATCTGGCTGTCAGTAAAAGTCAAATGATCCAGTTGTGAGAGTCTCTTCTTGCTTTTAAAAGTCTACGGGCCGGATCATCATAGTGGTCATGGTTGCCATCCAACTTGGCCCTTTCCAGTAGTACCATTTTATACTGTTATATCGTATCACGTTGGAGTTTCCAGAGTAATATATCCCGTTGAGATTGGATGGCCCGCAAGCTTCAAACCACCATCCTGCAGAAACAAGTAGCAAGCTATTTTAGTTATATGTTAACCAAATCTTTTTTTTTCTTGATAAAGGGACAGTTTATCCAAAAAATTACATTCTGCCATCATTTACTCAAACTTCAATTTGTTACAAACCAGTTTGAGTTTCATTTTTCTGTTGTAGATATAGATATTTTGTAGAAGTAGATATTTTAAAGAATGTTGGAATTTGGTAACCATTCACTTCCATAGTATTTTTTTTCCTTCTGCGGATGTCAGTGGTTACAAGTTTCCAACATTCTTCAAAATAATTTATTTTGTGTTCGACAGGAGAAAGAAACTCAAAGTGGTTTGGAACAAGTCGAGGGTTTTTATGGCTGTTTCTCAATATGCGTTCTTCAGCGGTCTTGCGTCCTTGTGTTCTCGTGCAACGTCATCATCAGTTGCCTAAGTTCAGTTCCAATACTCAAGACCGCAAGTACGGAGGACGCGTGAAATTTCCCGGATGTGATCTTGATATCAAGGACGCACCGATGCAGACTTGAGCACCGAACTCGCTCTGGAAGTCCCAGAAGTCATTGCGGCTGGAGGTGGAAAGCGCTGCATTTTATTTAGATTTATTATTAAAGTTCAGAGATATGACTTATTTACCTCAGGAGTTTCCCTAAATGAAACGGTGAAAGTAAACATTACCATGGACATCTTAATAAAGGAATAAACACATTAAGGGTGTTTGTTTGCTGAAATTCGTATTAAAATCTGTTTTATTTAGATTGTGCAACATAGATTTATAATGTTTTTATGCAAAGTATATATTTTGAAAAGGGGAAAAACAATAAATCGTTGTATGAAGGCTGTAATGTTTAAATAATTTACCATTTAAAACACGTAAAGGTCATGTGACCATCAGGAAGAACGCAGCATCTCAATTCTCAAAGGACGCGTTCTCTGCCCTCGCGGTCTCCTGAGTTCGTTCTTCCGAGGACACCTGGCAAGACCGGTCTCCACAAGAACACAAGTCCGTTCTCTGCGTTCTTGGAGTTGAGAAACAGCCTATGTATTGCTTTGGAACAGTGTTGCCCAAACTCGGTCCCGGAGGGCCGGTGTCTTGCAGATTTTAGTTCCAACTTGCCTCAACACCTATGCAGATGCCTAATAAGCACTTGATTAGCTAGCCCAGGTGTGTCTGATTGGGGCTGGAACTAAACTTTGCAGGACACCATCCCTCAAGGACAGAGTTTGGGCACCCCTGCTCTGGAAACTTCAGCAAAGATACAGTTAAGCAAATTGAGGTATTAAACCCCATGTTGTAGAGTTAAGGCTTCAAGTGATTTAGTGCAGCAGTGAGAGTTCCAGACTAGCATTCGAAGACATTAGTTTTTAAACGCCTAGTTCTTGTAGCATGCTTTGTTTTAACATTAGTCTGTCATTCAAATAAACACTTTGCAGTGGCGCAGTAGGTAGTGTTGTCGCCTCACAGCAAGAAGGTCGCTGGTTCGAACCTCGGCTCAGTAGGTGTTTCTGTGTGGAGTTTGCATGTTCTCCCTGCTTTCGCGTGGGTTTCCTCCGGGTGCTCCGGTTTCCCCCACAGTCCAAAGACATGCGTTACAGGTAAGTTGGGTAGGTTAAATTGTCCGTAGTGAATGAGTGTGTGTGGATGTTTCCCAGAGATGGCTTGCAGCTGGAAGGGCATCCGCTGCGTAAAAACATGCTGGATAAGTTGGCGGTTCATACCGATGTGGCGACCCCAGATTAATAAAGGGACTAAGCCAACAAGAAAATTTAATGTACAAGTCAGGATTCGAACTCAGGTCATTTGCAGCACAGTTACTCTGTGCCCATGTGCAGTCCAGTAGGCTACATAAGACAGAGATTTTTTCTGATCTGTCAGTCAAACGCAGATTCACCAGGTCCCTTCTGAAATGACAGATGCTTTGAATCGCTTTTGTCATGTGACCTGGTGTTTTGCAACATTTTAGTCACATGACCTGGGTGTTTCTGATCATGCTTGACACCAGTGAAAATCGCTTGGGCTTGAATGCAGACAAACATCTTGAAAAAAACGCTGACGATAAACGCAAATGAAAAGCATCCTAGTGTGTACCAGCCTTAAAGTAATTTATTTTCGTTTACTCTTTTCATCTGTTCTTTGCATAGTTTTATTTTTAGTTTCATAACAATTACAACTCTGCACATATGATTTGGTAGGTAGGACACACCCTGCCTTTGATGCATTACACCAGCTTGGAGACTTGATCATAAATTTTTACACAAGCTTCTACTGTTTTGTTTTACTGTAAGCAGCACACAAGGGATGGATTCAGGGATGTTTGTGAGGAACCTTTACCTGTTGGCGGTAAGGAGGGAGCTTGGTTCCAGCTCCTCTGATCTGTGGCTCTGCTTCACTTTAGTAAAGAGTGTCTAAAGTTTATTTTTAACAAGGTCCCTGATCAACCCAACCTTATCCATCAGCCCAACACAATTCAGTTTGGCTTGTTTCGAGTTTCTGTCACACTTTAATGCAGACTTTGGAAAAACGACTGCTATCAAAGGATAACTATATTGAACCCAACCAAAAAGCTACTCTTGATCCCAATAAGGGCAAAACAATAAAATGCAAAAAAAAAAATATATATATATATATATATATATATTCTGACCCCTATGAAACCTTGGCAGAAACAGATTTTGGTTATATTTTGTTTAGATCAGTACCATTATTTAAGCCAAGTCGAACTGCTGTTTAATTTAAAAGCCAACAATACCTAGACTTTTTCAGTTGCTATGGAAATACTCAAAATGATAATGCTATTGTAGTTTGTGTCTTGAGTGATGCTGGAAAATAGCTTGCATTATTAAAGAAAATGTGTTATGTATAATAGCAGATGACATGCGATACCTCCAGTAGCCATCTGAGCACACTTGCAGCTGCACTGGTCATTGTCTTGATCTTTAGTGCTGAATTGGGTCCCCGAGTGGGTAAGACTGCTAGTGCGTCCAGCAGTACCACTGAAACCCCTGGCATGGAGACTGCAGAGAGACAGACAAATACTGAATATTTCAACAAATGGATGGATACAGAAAGTATTATATACTGCAGGTGTTTTTTAACCCCCTAAATGTGGTGATCCCCTTGTGACCCACTTACTGTACATACAATCTCAAATGAGAAAAAGTTGGAGCAGTATGGAAATTGCAAATAAAAATAGAAAGTAAGGATTTCTAAATCTACTTTGACTTGTATTTCATTGCAGACAATACAATAAACATTATTTAATGTGTTCCTCATGACTTTTATTGTTTATTTCAATTTTGGTTTATGCACATTTCAAAAAAAGTTGGAACAGGAGCAATTTAGGGCTATTAATCAGATTGGTTAAATAAGCTAATTGTATTTATGATTTGTTAAAAAAGCAGCATCCAATAATGATCTTAGGGTGTCCGCGGGGTCTTAAAAGGTATAAAAAAAATTGATAAACCAATTATGAGAAACTTAAAAACCTTAAAAGCTATTTAAAAGTCTTAATTCTTTTTTAAGAGGTCTTAAATTTTGTTCAAGCGTTGTCCAAAGTGTCTGACTCCAAAAAAAGCATAAATATATTTATTTTTCTCCTAATATTAACAACGGCGTGCTCAATCCTCGCAATTGGTTCAGGCTGGGGTGCATCCGGCCAAGCTTCTCTTTCCGGGTGATGTCACATAATTTGCGACAAACGCAGGTAGGTGATGTGACGCTCTCCACCTCTAGCAAAACCATAGAGCAAAACAGACGGCAAAATAAGAAAACGAAAGTTTGTGTACTTCTGGTTGGAGAAAGACGAGTTTAAACAGTGGCTGAAGCTTGTCGCTAAAAACAACCGCGTAATTTATTCTTTCAAGCTTTGTTTCTTCCGAGCCTATCTGAGTTCTGTTGCATGGTTGTGCTCCATTGATTTATTTAACTACAACTGCATTAGCAATTGTTTATTAAGTTAAAAGTTTGATACAAATTAGAACTTGAAGTGGCGAAAGAAGGTCTTTAAAAAGTCTTAAAGAGGTATAAAAATTACCTTTAGGATTCCTGCTTACACCCTGGGTCTAGTCCTCTAGGAGCAAAAATGTGCAGAGGATCGCCACTTTACTGACAAACAGTGATAAAATGATTGAAATGTTTTAAACCACTAAAAGATAGGAAGACATTTGGATTTTTTTTTTTTTTTTGGTTTTCACCCTCTCCTAACCTTTTCTGATTTTGGGTTGTAGATATAAAGGCAAGTGTCTGTGCTTAGAGTGGGGGGGAGTAAAAACTGATATGTTTCTTATGAACAAAATCAGCAAATTAGAATGATTTCTGAAGGATCCTGTGAAAGGAAAGAGTGTACTAAAAATTCATATTTGCCATCACAGGAATGAATTACATTTTAAAATATGGTAAAATAGAAAACAGTCATTTTAAATTGCAAGAAAGTTTCTTAATCGACTTTTACAGATTTCCTTTAGCCATAAAAAAAAATTCTCAGACTTGATAGATTTTATGCAAAATGCTAAGTGGAGGGATTGGGAGAACAGATTTCTGACAACTGACAAGTGTAGAATGAAACTTTATAATTTTGGATTAATAATAATTATTAACATTGCACAAAACCTTTACCAGGTCCATTTTGAACCTCGCTATACACACATTGGAAAACAATCCACATTATAATTCACACTTTTCTGTCACATGACTGATGTGGAGTCCTGGAGGTCAAAAATCTATAAAAATTCAGTAGAGACTTGTCAAGTCCCCATTTGTTTTAATCCATTGATATGTAAATTCTGGACTCTTAAAAATCATTAAGAACACCTGCTCCAGGATTTCAGTTAATAAAACCTCATTGAAAATGTACACATAGACATCACCTATATACACCCACTGGCCACTTTATTAGTTACAAATTACTTTGTAAATTGGACCCACTTTTGCCTTCAGAACTGCTTTAATCCTTTGTGGCATAAATTCAACAAAGCACTGGAAATATTCCTCAGAGATTTTGGTCCTTATTGACATGATAGCACCACGCAGTTGTTGCAGATTTGTCAGCTGCACATCCATGATGCGAATCTCCCGTTCCACCACATCCCAAAGGTGCTCTATTGGATTGAGATCTGGTGACTGTGGAGGCGAGTTTTAAGTGTAGTGAACTCATTGTCATGTTCAAGAAACCAGTCTGAGATGATTCGCGCTTTATGACATGATGCGCTATTCTTCTTGATGTAGCCATAAGAAGATGGCTACACTGTGGTCATAAAGGGATGGACATCCTTTCATGTTTTTGATGCCAAATACTGACCCTGCCATCAGAATGTCGCAGCAGAAATCGAGACTCATCAGACCAGGCATTTTTTTATAATCTTCTATTGTCCAATTTTGGTGAGCCAGTGGTAATTGTAGCCTCAGTTTACTTTCCTTAGCTGACATTAGTGGCACCCGGTGTGGTCTTCTGTTGCTGTAGCCCATCCGCTTCAAGGTTAGACGTGTTGTGCATTCAGAGATGCTCTCCTGCATACCTCTGCTGTAACGAGTGGTTATTTAAGTTAATGTTGCCTTTCTGATAATTGGTCTGAACTGCAGCAGGTCATCTTGACCATGTCTACATGCCTTAATGTATCGAGTTGCTGCCATGTGATTAGCTGATTAGAAATTTGCGTTAACGAGCAATTGGACAGGTGTACCTAATAAAGTGGCCAGTGAGTGTAATATGTAACTGCATGTTAACTATGTTTACATATAATAACTTTAACTTATAAAGTTATTAGTAATTATTTATACGGTAAATTATCAGTCACTAATGAAGTTATAGTAACTAATAACCTTTTCCGATTTTGATTGTAATGCAATGATGTGCACCTTTTGTAAAGCTGCTACATATAAAGCTGCTATAATTATTGTATAAAGCACTATACAAGTAAACTTGAATATTAAACTGAATAAAAAGAGCAGGACATATTAAAACACTTATTGTGTCTTCTTATATTTTGTGTCACTGTATAAAAACAATGATATAAAGTGATTATAATTATACATAATAATGTATGAAGGGCATGTCAGAAGTCTCATCTCAAACTAATTTGTTGTACAGTACAATATGCTCACTATACTCCAATGCCCAACAAAGTCACCAGATTTCAATCCAGCACAGCATCTTTGGGATGTGCGCGGTGGTCTATAGCAAAAGTGACACTTTATTTTGATGGTCTGTCTGTTAAATTTAATGCCAAACATTACATTGCATCTATATGCCAACTAATTCTCATTAGATTATAAGTAGACTGTTAGGTTGGAGTTAGGGTTGGGGTTAGCGCAAGTTGACATGCACTTGCAAAGTTTCTTATAGTCAGTTAAATGTCTATTGCAGGAGCAGTATCAGCAGATATTAAGCAGACAGTCTACTAATACTTAAATGGACTATCAAATTATAGTGTTACCCAAAAGTTGTGCCAAGAAACCCTCCACATATTTTTTTTTTTTTTTTTTGGCACTTCTTGAGTTCCAGCATTAGCCTTTTTGATCATCTCAGACACATTTCCGGTTTTAAATAAATTAGCTTAAATACAATACACAAAGGAGTGCTTTAACTTAGATTGTTTTTTTTTTTTTCTTCTTACATAATCTGATGAAAGCGTCTACATCTATTACATCCACCGTTAACCCCAGTAATTGGACCGGCTGCGAGCTCGTATGAGATACTCCTAAGTGATTTATCTTTTCCTCTTTCTTATTTCAGAACGCTCTAAGACTCATTAATACACATTCCAAAGATATCCAGCCTCCATTATCCACAATCCATTGTTGACGTTGTCTCACCAGGAAGGATTGCGCGCACACGGTGCCAGATAGAGGACCACACACAGCTACAGACTGCAGGAGATTGCGTTGGCAAGAAAACACCCCTGCGCCATAGGTTGCTTGGCTGCTTAATCCCAAATGGGCCCAACACCCTCGAGACCATGCCAGGATTCTCAGCATGGTAATAAAATGCACACTTACCATATGAGGTAAACTAGAAAACAAACATGGTGGGATTTGGCAAGTGTTTGTTCTGCTATTTCCCCTACCTGCTTACACGCACACAAACACACACTGGCATCTCCATCAGATAGCGGTGCTGCAATGCTCCAGCCATTCTGGAGTTGTATTCCAAATCATTTATTTTGAGTTCAGTTTAATATTTCTGGTTCTGGTTCATTCGCTGTATAAGTATGCCTAAAAGCAATGCTCGGTGTTTAATTGCATCCCTTAAGAGAGGTGTGAGATTTGTTTAACTCGGCAGTTTTCTGGCAAAGCCTAATGCTTGAAATTGCTTGCCCTGTTTCTCTCTGGTAGGCAAATCTTCTCTTGGGATTGGCAGACCAGATGAAAGAGTGATGCTGTGAGGAATGGTGGTTTACCCTAAATGTAGCTCCAAGTCTATTGCCTTGAAAATTAAAATGAACAATTTTTGGAAGCATGGGGAGATGATTTGTCCAAAATTTTCAATTGGGAACACAGAAATTTAACAAAAATAGTCAAGTAATTTAAATGACAGGATGCTAATGTTGGTCATTTTCATTGTAGACCATCTGTCAGATATTAAATATTAAGCTAATTGCATATTATCTCACACACTTTAACCATTAAAACTGAAGGTTTGTATTAAAATTCCAGTTTGGAATCAAGCAACGCTGTTCCGTCATGTTTTATAATAATGATGAGCCCCTCAAAAAGACCAACACAAACATTTAAGGCCCAGGACACACCAACTGTATTGTTACCTACACTGTAAAAAAATCTGTTATTTATTTATTTTTTTTACCGGCAGTTGTAAATGTAGAACATAAAATAACAGCTGTTGAATTACAGCCATATACTTTATAATAGCAGACAGTAAATTACATAAATTTACTGGAAATTTAAATTTAAGTAAATTTCTGTATTTTACTGTGTTATTTTCATAATAAATGTCAGTAATTCAATTTCTTCGTAAAAACAAAAATTGTTACATAACAAATTTTTTTTCCAACCAAATATCTACACATAAGCACACCGCCAACCTGATTTCACCAAAGACATGTTCCTGAATTAACATCTTTCCTGGAACAACATTCTAATCAGCCTATTGCTATTAAGCGATACGTTTAATGCTTACGTTAGGCTTACAGTTAGGTTTATGCACTTCTACATGATTGTTATCTCACTATTATTCGCCTCTTATTTTGGGAACAATTTACAGTTATTAGGTATGGGGGTAGGGAATAGGTATGGATTACATTTTCAAACAAAAATTATGTTCCAGGATCAACATAGATGTTAATCCAGGATCACATCGTACTTGGCAACATCATGATGTGCTTAACACACCAAGACATTCAACTGTATCTTTCCATATCTGCAAATATGTATTTCACAAAGAGAAACGGAAACTAGTGCTGCACACATACAAACCGTAAATAAAACAGTATTTATGTACCATTTTCAAAGTAATTATTGGTCATCACAGAGGGATTCGCTTGTGCAAATATGTCTAAATATCTGACAATATTAAAGAAATGTGACGAATCTGCATTCCCTCCTGACTTTTTGTCTAGTTTTGCTTAGTTTAATCACTGAATAGATAATCAGAGATCTTCCTTTCACTGAAGGCCAATCCAGATTCTACAAGCTTAATAGCAAACTCCCTCCCACATGAGGTGATGGGTAAAACAGAACAAAAAAAAACAGCTAGTGGCCCAACACTGCTGTGACCCAGCCTTAAAATTAACATTCTGTCATGTAAAAAAAACAAAAAAAAAAAAACAATGCAGCATCAATTGAATAAATTGTGGGAGGTCACTCTTAAAGGGGTGAGGCAGTGGCGCAGTAGGTAGTGCTATCGCCTCACAGCAAGAAGGTCACTGGGTCGCTGGTTCGAACCTCGGCTCAGTTGGCGTTTCTGTGTGGAGTTTGCATGTTCTCCCTGCCTTCCTGTGGGTTTCCTCCGGGTGCTCCGGTTTTTCCCACAGTCCAAAGTACAGGTGAATTGGGTAGGCTAAATTGTCCATAGTGTATCAGAGTGTGTGTGAATGAGTGTGTGAGGATGTTTCCCAGAGATGGGTTGCCTCTGGAAGGGCATCCGCTGCGTAAAAACTTGCTGGATAAGTTGGCGGTTCATTCTGCTGTGGCGACCCCAGATTAATAAAGGGACTAAGCCGACGAGAAAATGAATGAATGAAGGGTACTCTTAATGTTAAAGTACAGATGAAATCAAAACTAACCATCTGATTTTGTTAGCTCACATTCATAGTTTTGTGGTGAGCAAGTCATTAAGAAAGAAAAAAATTGCCTTCGTAATATTTAATTGAAATTTAAAAACGCACTTCCTGTTTTGTTTTGTTTTTTCAGTAAAATTACTTATTGTTTAAGTATTGGGCATGGTTACATACTTAACCACGACCTTCCAAATAAGTTAAGTTGTAATAACACTTCTAAAAGGCATTTCCTAATCTTTCCGTATGAAATGCCTTTACGAAAATGTTTACTAAAGGCATTTTACTAAAATCCTTCATTTTGCCGTAAAAAATACAAGCCAAGCCCACTGTTTTCTCCAAACCAGGCTCATTCGGAAAACATACCCCTATATTCATTTCTGGAGAGTGCACAATATGTCCCAGGAGGTAATTTTGTGCAATATTTGGGCCGCTGTGTACGCATTTTTTGAGATCTCAAATTACTCTTGTGCGTGTCATTCGTGCCTGCTGTTCTCGCATAAATCCACTAGAGACCATTGTCGACTGACTGACTGAGCGATCGCCTGACAAACCCTCCTTTTCTAAACCCAACCAATAGCGTTGTCAAAAGCGGCAAAACTCCTCCCTGCGTCTTAAGTCTGCCGATATACATGGCGAGCTAACTGGACAAACTGGTAACAGCGGGAAAGCCGTCCAGTCCACACGGAGGGTAAGCGGTTATCTAGTAAGCACAAAAAGGAACGGCGTCATATCACCCCATGTTGTTCGTACCATACATACTTTCAAGATCTCCAGAAATGTTTATAGGAGTATGTTTTCAGAATGAGCCTGCGTTGGTTTTCTCATTTATTATTTTGTTTCTTTAGAAATTGCATCACAATATGAAGAAAAAAAAAACACAGTTGCAGCTTCCGGTTCATTTGGACTTTAAATGTTAATAACAAAAGACGAGCCAAATAAAAGAGCCAAAAAACAAACAAAATGCATTAGTAATGGTTTTAAATAAGCTGAATATGTCATTCCCACTGAATATCTAAATACAAATCAAATATGAATACCATAAAATGACAATGCTTATGTGTATTTAAAACTGAACATAATAAACGACTTAAATGGCAGGTGGTATTCATAAATAAACATCATCACTTCCACCAGTTCAGCTCAGGCCTGCTTTGACTAAATCACAGAATGAAGCCGAGCTATGATGAAAAAGATTTTATCTCATTCTATTTCATTTCTTCCCCCAATTCAATTCAATCCACATATATTTAGCTGGTAGTATGTGAGTTACTGCCACGGTCGATTTTATCCCCAGCGCTCTATGTAATAGCTCACGTCTGGGATGCTAACACGTAAGAAGCTTCTTCAAATGTTGAGCAGGAGTTTTCAATTTAGCGACTGAGTATTATAATGAGCCTGCTGCTGGAATTCATCGTTTTTTTATGTTTTGTTGAGTGATTGTTGCAGTTGGAGGAAAGTGTTTGGCGGGAATGTTCTCTACCGCACGCAGCTCTGCCACCTCCCTTTCACTTTTCCACAGCTTGTTATCCGTTCCTGTTAAATCACAAAACAAAACGCAACCAAATGTGTTCCTGCTGCTGATAAACATCTACTGATGTACAGCTTCAACTCTGATTTAGTCAAATAAATGGTTATGCTGGAAAAGCCCTCGCACTTAAATCAAAAACACTGCCACTAGACCAATCATATCTGACCATATCTGACCCCATGTTATCTGAAATGAACAGAAATGGGCTGGAAAAATCATCAAAAAGGAAAAGCAACTGCTGTGCTATTGAAAGTAGTTTAACCCATCGGTAGACTTTTGTAGCGTTCTAGCCTTTATAAAATAGGCATAGCTTACAATATTTAAACCATGGGTAATATTATTTACCTATATAAATATATTTTCTGGGTTCATTTACAAATGTGGCATCCATTGAGTGCATCACAACAGTTAGGGACAACCCAGGCTCATTCTAATTACGTAGTCCTATACACATTTCTGGAGAGTGCCAAATACATTCCAGGAGCTATGTTTTTGCCGTTTTTATTTTTGCGAATCCACCAGAGGCCGCTGTGTACGTTTTCTTCGATCTCACATTTCTCTTGCGAGTGCCATTTGTGCCTGCCCAACTCGCACTTGGACTGACTGACTGATCGGCTGACCCACCCTCCTGCTTCCCTAAACCAAACCAATAGTGTTTTCAAAAGCACCGATTGGCCTGCCTACCCACTTCCTTAAACCCAACTGACAGTTTTCAATAGCAATCCAGAAAAAGAAAAAACGTTGCCTGATTTGTAATACGTTTTCAGATTTTACCACATTTTCACCCTGTTATTTACTTGTTTATTTTATTTTATAGCAACTATTTTTGTCTTATCTGCTTTCGATTAACTAACCCACCCTCCTTCTTCCCTAAACCCAACCAATAGTGTTTTTAAAAGCATCCATTAACCAGCACCCACCAACTTCCCTAAACCCAACCTACAATGTTTTCAAAAGTAATCCAGAAAAAGAAAAGCCCTCGCAGCAGTCAGATTTTAACCCCATTTTCAGATTTCACCACATTCTCCCTCTGTTTTTTAATTGTTTATTTTATTTTTTTGCCTTTTTCTGGAATCGTTCTTAGTTGGACTCGTACCCTGCCGTCGCGGTCACCTCGTCTTTGCATCTCAAGTCCGCTGACTTACGCGACAAGCCACTGGACAAACTGGTAACAGTAGAAAAGCCGTAAATACAGAGGCAAGCAGTCAGCCAGTGCTTAATTTGTGAATTGCGATGTCCCGCAACAGATCGGGGTAACGGATCCAGTATGTTACTCGAGGATGGAGAGGTGTTGTACACGAAAGTGGAGAGCGATAGGGTGGGGAAGGGTGGTCTGGGGAGCTTGGTTTGGCAGTGTATGGCGGAGTGGTGTCACAGACGAAAGTGAAAAGCGAGGTGGGGGGGGGGGGGTGCAGGTTGTTGCAGATAAAATTGAAGAGGGTTTGGGATTCTCGGAAGAAAGTGAACAGCAGACGGGGAAGGAGGGCGGTTAAGGAGGGGGGTCAGCAAAATGAGGTGCTGGATCCAGAGTGTTCCGCCACAAATTCAGCCCTGTTGTCAGATAATAAGCATAGGGGTTTCGTTTCTTAAAGATGAAATGCAGCCATATGTACTTCAGGCTACATAATTCACAATCTTCAGAAATGTATATAGTGCTACTTTTTCAGAATGAGCCTGTGTTGGTTAGTTAACATCTAAAGTCAAGAGAACATGGATGATATTGGTACCTATACTTCTTATCTTCTCCGTCAATGTAGAAAGTGTCATACTGAGAATAAGCCTGGTGTTCCTCTGCATCTTTGAGGTGAACCTGAAGCGTGTAGTCTTTTGTTGTGGTGAGCAGGTGGATGACATCATTTCCTAACCAGTGTTCTCCTGACGGATCTCCAAATCCCTGATGAAAAATGATTGCAAACAAAAGGTTAAGGATGCTTTATTTTCTTGACAAACATTATCTCATCTCCTACAAATGTCAGACCAGAAGTCATTCATTTTGGTCTCAACTTCAGGGTTCATACACATTTTTACTACTAAAATTGCATGACTTTTCCATGATCCTTCCAAGACTTTCAAGTCCATTTTCATGACTGAATGTTTCATGCAATGTCTACATATGCGTGATAAATGAAAAACAATGCATATTCAATTTTATTACAGCAAATCATAAAACATGCAACAGTCTATTCAGTTTAAATTTATATTTATATCTATGTAAAATTGATTTAGATAATGCTTACACTGCACTAATAATGTGAGACTATGTGATTGGCCAAGTACAAAAAAGAAGTAAAGATCTCTAACCTATATTCAAGTATACAGATATCTGTTTTCCGTGGGTTTTTCTGTTTTTCCAAAACTTTTCCATTCCTGAAAAATGCCAATTTAAAACTCCATGGCTTTTCCAGGTTTTCCATGACCGTGTGAACCCTGCACCTTATATTAAGTGGCCATAAATATAGGTACTTGCATAAATAAGTACAATGGACTTAATGTGTTCAAACTGACCTTATTCTGAGGCATAATACTTCCCATTCTAGTTCGCTTCCATTGATTTTTAGATGTTAAAAACTACACATTATGTTGTTTAATGTTTCAAACTGATATTTTCATATTATATTATTCTACTTTTATAGTTGTGAACTAACTCATTTCTAGAGCAAGTAGTTTGACTATTTTCTGCTGTTTATTATTTTAGTCATTTTTCCCATAGGCAATTGAATTAGAAGTTCTAAACAAGCACAAATAAAAACACACTTCCACATTACACAAAGTCAATACAACATTTACAACATTTGCGCTCTAGGAATGTATGTCCCCACCATTGTCAAGAACAAATCTACATCCATGAGACCATGATGGACAGAGGCCAGTGGGTAAATTTGGCCAAGATGCCAAGGACTCTTTATCGAAGGACATTCAGGGATTTTTAACAACCACATAGAGTCAGGAGTTCCTTTTAACATCTCACCTGAAAAACAAGGCTCACTGAGCAGTATAGAGTCCCCTTCACTATACTGGGGGGTTAGGAACCACACAGACCAGAGGTTGGGCGCCCTCTGCTGGTCTCACTAACACCGCTACCGGCAGCAAGCTAGCTTTCCCATGTGTTCTCCCATCCGGATACTGACTCTCTGTGGTCGTTAAAAATTCCAGAATGTCCTTCGATAAAGAGTAGGGGTTTACCCTGGCATCCCTGGCCAAATAGCTTCAGTGGGCGAATATGTGAGATTTGCAGAGAGCTAGCTGCTGGTTTATGAATAAAAGAGAAAAAACTTCTCTATGAGTTTATAAGGGCCTTAAAAGGGGGAATGTGTCAATCATTTACACATTTGTTGAGAAAATAAAAGGACATGGCTTCTGAAGGACACTCCTGGAGTCCTTTATCACACACTGGTAAACATTTCACAAGACCCACTCTATAACCAGAGCAAAATGTTGCATTTCCATCTGCTTGGACCGGCAAATGAGATAGCACTTTGTGAATACTGTGAGATGTGGTAATGCAGCTGGGCATTCAAATGCTTCGATGCACACGTTATCAGCAATCTACAGGGGCTCCCGACTCCCACGCTCCATCTGGGGCCAAATATTTATCATTCACTTGTAAAAACATTTTTTCTTGGAAAACAAGGGGAAGAGAAAACAAAACTTGTGCCATTCTAAAAGCACTCCCAGAGCAGCCATAGCAATTTGTCTGCTGAAGTAGCCCAGGTGAGATGAATTACCAGAGTTTTTTTGCATTTTAAACGCAATAATGACATTTTCCAAACAACTCGGCTCTTTAGGGAATATAATGTGCTAATTTTAAAGCAGCCATCGCTAACAGCATCCTCCTCTCCTTATATTCTGTTACTTGCTTTAAATGATGGACGCAAAGTGTGAATAATGACGTCCAATTCAAATTCAAGTCTTATCTTTTCTCTTCTCGAGACTCCAAATGACCCTGTGACCGAATTAATATATACTCTTCCTCCCAGACCAGGAGGGAATGCAGGTGTAACAACAGAGGGAGACGTGGGAATTCAGAAACGGCCAATCAGAAGTCTCCTTCTAAAGAAAAAGGTCAACGGGGGTCACCGAAGCATCGGTGATCTGCATTTATACTCGTCAGCTACCACAAATGAGGAGTAGACGCTCTCCATCAGCGCAGGTTAAATGTGTGCTTAAAATGTTAGGCACTTCAGATTAATCGTTTGCATAAGTCAAGAAATCTCAATAAGGGATAGACAGGCTCACATGGAAATTATACAGTGCGTCTTCATTAAAAGAAGTGATCATAGTTCATTGTCTGAGGCAAAATCGAGAGAAATGATTCAGAGGAAACTTTAATGATGGCACAAAATCTAATTCCTGTTATATATTTGTCAGATGTGAATAAAAACATGAAATATGGGCTATTTTATTACAACATGACTGATATTGTAGAATTTATCAGAAGGTTTTTATTGTATTTAAAAAGATATTCAGTGCACAAAGATCTGATTAATATTGATGCCTGCAGTAAAATAAATGATCTGAGACAAAGAAAATTGGGGTTTTAAAGGAATTTAAAGGTAAAATGCAGAAAGATAACCAGACTGCTTCCTAAAGCTATCCTCTTGTTATATGGTTAAACAAATTAAAAGTAGAAAAGGCTCTAATTGGTTTGGGACGAGATGTTCTTACCAGTTTGTAATCATTCCAGTCACGGTTGAAATCGACTGATCCATCATAGCGATGCTGAAAGACAGTCCAGCCTCCACCTTTAGTTTTCATATCACAGAATACCTGGTTGGAATGAAACACATTCATGACATTAATATACACATATTCTTAGTCATTTTACAGTTTTAACAAAAGAGAGATAATACTAGAGTGACATCACTGTCAGATGCTAATCTTACATGTCAAAATATGCATTTTATATACAATATAACATTGTCAAAGTTATGGTATGTGAGGTTTTTGCATATCTGAATTTTATCCAGATGGGTTTTTGAAAATCTGGAATACACACATACACACACACACACACACACACACACACACACACACACACACACACTCAAAGTATGTGATTTGAGATAGCATAGCCTTGCATCAGATTCCAATCTGACAGGATAATTGAGATGATAACATTATAGTAAGTACAACAGATTACATTTTTATCATTTTTCTGGTGACTTCATTTTGACTGATTTTATAATCATTTATTTTTGGCTAAGGGTAAAGTTACTTAACATTTAGAGTTTTACATTCCATGCAATTTAGTGGGGAAAAGAAAGAATTTAAATGAACTAAATTCTCACTCTGAACACCAAGCACAAGAACTTGTATTTTTGTTATTATTATTTATATCTCAATATCACAATTCCGACTCATATTTACAACTTTATTTCCCACAATAATGAAATGCAAAACTGAAACTGCATCTCATGATTAAGGAAACATTTCCATATTTAAAAAAGCTAAAATATGTAAAACATCCAGTTAATGTAAACATTTATTCATTTTCCTTCGGCTTGGTCTCAATTTCAAAGGTAGCAACAGTGGAATGAACCGACAACTATTCCAGCGGATGTTTTACACAGCGCATGCCCTTCCAGCATCAACCCAGATTAGGAAAGTTAATGTAAACAACACAATTTAAATATGTTTTGCTAGTTGACAAAGTATATAGTATTGAGCTCTAAGTATTGAACATGTCACCATTTTTCTCCGAAAACATATTTGTAACATGGGTGCCGTTGGCTTGAAATTTTTACCAGATGTTGGTAACAACCAAAGAAACCCATATATGAAAAGAAAACAAATCTAATTAGTTTACAAATTAAGTTACGTGCAATAAAATGAAATAACACAGGGAAAAAGTATTGAACACATGAAGAAAGGCAGGTGTAGAAAAGCAGTGAAAGCCCAGACTGCAGCTAAAATCTCTTATTCAGCAACCCTCTGCTCTTCGTCATTGTAGATGAAAATTAGCTGCTTCAGTCCAACATCTACATTATCACGATGATGAAGATGAAATCAGGGTGGAAATTTCAGCAAAACAAAGATCCAAAACACAGTCTAGGAAACTCTCATATGCTTTCAGAGAAAGAAAATCAAGCTGTAGAATGGCCCAGCCAATCGCCTGACTTGAATCCAATAGATACTAAATAAATACTAAATAAAGATCATATTTGAAAGACAAGACCCACAGAACCATCAAGATTTTACACTCTGTTGAAGTCTGTGTTGATGCATGTGACTTCATTCTCCAAATTAGGGTGATCTTTAAGCTGCCATCACCAGAAAAGCCTTTTATATAAAGTACTAAATACATTTCAGTAGTTCTGTTCTTCTTCCTTGTGTCATTTCATTGTTATTATTTGTTTTGTTTTATAAAGTATGTTTGTGTTGTTTGGGTTTTTACCAAAATCTGGTTCAATTCCATGTCAACAACCATGTCAACACAATAGCGGTGTCTGAAATTGCATACTTCCATACATACAGTATATAGTATGCTAAAAACAATATGCGAGCCAAGTAGTTTATCCAAATTCACAGAAATTGAAAAGCAGTAGGGGAGAATAATAACCTATTAATCGTGAAAAATTGCACCCAAAATAAAAGTTTGTTTTGACATAATATATGTTTGTGTGCTGTGCATGTTTATTATATTCATTCATTATTTTTCATTTCGTCTTAGTCCCTTTATTAATCTGGAGTCGTCACAGAGGAATGCACCACCAACTTATCCAGCATATGTTTTACGCAGTGGATGCCCTTCCAGCTGCAACTCATCATTGGAAAATGTTTATTATATTATATATTAATATTATAAAAGTATTTGAGAAAAAAAAAAAATTAATATATAATATATATATGTAGAGTTGAATTCAGAATTATTAGCCCCCCTGAATTATTAGACCCCCTTTTTATTTTCTCCCCCAATTTCTGTTTAACGGAGAGAAGATTTTTTTTTCAACACATTTCTTAACATAATAGTTTTAATAACTCATTTCTAATAACGGATTTATTTTATCTTTGCCATAATGACAGTAAATATACAAATTATAAATATTTTTCAAGACACTTCTATACAGCTTAAAGTGACATTTAAAGGCTTAACTAAGTTAATTAGGTTAAGTAGGCAGGTTATGGTAATTAGGCAAGTTATTATATAACAATAGTTTGTTCTGTAGACTATTGAAAAAAATTATAGTTTAAAAAGGCTAAAAGTTTTGTTCTTAAAATGGTGTTTAAAAAATTTAAAACTGCTTTTATACTAGCCAAAATAAAACAAATAAGACTTTCTCCAGAAGAAAAAATATTATCTGACATACTGTGAAAGTTTCCTTACTCTGTTAAAATCATTTGGGAAATATGTGAAAAAGAAAAAAAAAATCAAAAGGGGGCTAATAATTCTGACTTCAACTGTATATGATACAAATTTCATATGACTATGTATGTAACAAAATAGTTTTGAATATTTTAGCTTTTATGTATGTGTGTATCACATACTGTATACATAGTAAATATAAATGACACATAAATGTGATTAATCGTGAATAATCTACATTAATGTGCATGATAAATCAAACAAAGTGAGGTTTAAAATAAAACTTGTTTGAACTCTCCAAATGAAAGGAGCCACCCAGCATGAGGCATTGAGGGGTGGCACGTTATAAAAGGGTGGTGAAACTACACACTGTATACCGGTTCACTCGCACTCACTGCATTAAACCCTGTGCTGGCAGGAAGCTCTCGAATCAATGCCAAACACCTGGTGCCGATGCCCACAGGAAATAGAGTGGAAGACGAATGAGTGCAAAGGAAAATAATGAATAACAAAAACAATTTTAGCCACATTTTAAAAATGTTCATCACCCCAAGAGCCTCCCAGAAATTAGATTTGACTCTGGAAGTCAAAGGCATAACACAAATCGTGGGAGGTTTGCTTGTGGTTCAGTAGGGCAAAATTTTGAAATAAATACGGGTGCATATTCACAGTGAGATGCACAGAGATTTGGCCTGAAGGTAATGTTTCTCTGGCTTTTTGATTTGGTTTTATGATTGACATGACATTTTCATCTTAGCCTTTTTTTTGGAACGACATACTGAAATTGCATTATAGTGAAACATTCTGTCCTTCCAGATTATAATGTAGTCCTCAAAAACAAAACATTAAATGTCAACGGAGCTCAGTTTCTTAATCACGATACATGCCAGAATTCATGCTTTACAAGTCGTCTTGGTTTACATGCAATATGCAATCTATTTTTCCTTTTTTGTTGTCAAAGTTCTCCTGCTTTTTTCAGATAATATTGTACCCTTCATAAAAGTAAAGGTGCCAGGAATAACCAAATAGGGGTTTTCACATTGATTCCATAGAAGGAAATGTTTTGGTTCCCAAAAGAACCTCTTGTGAACATTTCTTCACAGAACAACTTAGAGTAAAGAAAAAAATAAATGATCACTATAAAAAAATTGCTGCATTCCACACAATTCCTTCATGTTGTGGCAACACAAATCGATTAAGTTAACGTAATTGTTTTAACAAACTGAAGTCGATTAAACATTCAACAAATTAGCTGTCCCAAAAAAAGCTCAAGAAATGTTGTTTATACAGTGATTTATACAGTTGAATTCAGAAATCTTAGCTCCCTGAATTATTTTTCCCTCCAATTTCTGTTTAACAGAGAGCAGATTTTTTCAACACATTTCTAAACATAATAGTTTTGATAACTCATTTCTAATAACTGATTTAATTTATCTTTGCCATGATGACAGTAAATAATATTTTACTAGATATTTTATACAGCCTAAAGTGACATTTAAAGGCTTAAATATGTTAATTAGGTTAACTAGGCAGTAACTAGCCAAAATAAAACAAATAAGACTTTCTCCAGAAGAAAAAATATTATCAGACATACTGTGAAAATTTCCTTGATCAGATAAACATTATTTGGGAAATATTTTTAAAAATAAACAACAAAAAAAGGGGGCTGATAATTCTGGCTTTAACTGTATATAACCTTCTTTCCCATGTAAATGACATTTTTTTGGAATGAAAAGGTTCCATGGATGTTTTTCATGGTTTTTTTCTCCATGTTGTATGTTTTTACACTCTATAAAATCTCCATTGATGACCCTATCATTGTTTGCAAGATCACTGCCTGTGCCCACTGGCCAAGAAATATATGTGTAACATTGTTAACCTATGTATAAATTTGGAGGAACTGATATAACAATGGGTTTCAAATCTTTTTTTTTTTTCTGTCTTTTGTCTTTTTTTGCCTTTTCTTTTCTGTCTTTATAGTTGTCGCTTTTTATAATGCTCTGTGTTGTCATTGCATCAGTGACTCCAGTCTTAATTCCTGGACACATTTATATAATGCCAGTTTAAGTAAATGTGGTTTCTTTTACTGGCTGCCCATTATAGGACAAGCCAATTTTAATTTATAAACTGAACTAGAATCTATTTTCATACTACCAAAACCTATTTTTAAATACTAGTATGTTTTTTTAATTATTTACTTTTTTTATTAGTAATAAGTGTTTATTTTTAGATATAGTATATAAATAATAGTTGTCCCAGAGATGGGTTGCGGCTAGAAGGGCATGCGCTGCGTAAAAACTTGCTGGATAAGTTGGCGGTTCATTCCGCTGTGGCGACCCCGAATTAATAAAGGGAGTAAGCCGGCAAGAAAATGAATGAACGAGTATAAATAATAGTATTTATTTATTAGATACTACTTTTTATTAATTGTACTTAATAGAGACATGCTTGTTTTTTGATACTAGTACATGTTCATTACACAGTATTCAGACACTAGTACCTATTATTAATCAAATACTAGTACTTATTAGCTATTGTATTGTTACAAGTAAAAAAAAGTTAATTGCCATTGACTTATATGGGTATCTGTCATTAAGATATTAACTATTTTGTTTTAATTTGCACATCATTTTTATTCACTTGCAGTTATTCATTAGGTGGTAGTATGTATACAGTAAGTCACAGGTGTCAAACTCAGGACTGCAGTTTAGTTCCAACCCTAATTAAACACACCTGATCAAACTAATTAAGTCCTTCAGTTTTGTTTGAAACCAACAGGTAAGTCTGTTGAAGCAGGGTTGGAACTAAACTGTGCAGAGCTGCGGCCCTCCAGGAACTGGATTTGACCCCATTGATTTAAGTAGTAGTATCTAATGTAATGTAACTACTGTCTAGTGTACAGTATACTAGTGTCTATTGATATGTACTACTAGTCTCTAACAAATATGTAATAGTATCTAATATTAAGAACCAATAAAGTAAATTGTTCAATGTACTAACCTTAATTTTCTGGGTGGAATTAGGAAGATGAATGCTGTATATCCCATTTTCTGTCACTCCAGATTTGAATATCTCAGCACAGTCTCTAAACTTCAACATCTCCTTATCAACTGGAGTGGATATATCTGGAAATAAATCGCATATTTATTTTAAGCTAATGAAATAAGGAAATAAAAGTATACTTTGACACATTGATTTACTTCACAAAACTGATTGATGGTTGGATGGAGGAAGAAGAAGAAGAAAAGTGATTCATAAAACTGTAAGTCCATGACTAACGGCACTTTTAAATATATAAAAAAACATACAGGTGCTTGGTGACTAAATGCGTTTGAGACGATTTGCCATGATTGTAGATTTTTTAATAATATTCCAAATAATGTTCATTTTTTTGCACTGACCTAACGTTTCACTTCATAAGATCTCAATGTATTATCAGGAGGTATTCATTTTATTTTGCTGTATATTTTTTATGACCCTCAACGTGCCTGTAGATGTAAGCTGTTTCAACAAATAACATATTTAATGTTCTTCTGAAAAACAAAAGTCATCTACTGCACATCCTTGTAGGGGTGTGAAGGTACACTGGAGTCATGGTTCGGTACATGCCATGGTTTTGGAGTCATAGGTCGGTACGGGGACAGTACAACAGGAACAATAACAAATCTCCAGTACAGCTATTTCTGTTTATTTTGAACAGGCAGAAGTGTTTTGTCACAACCAGCTACAGAACTGAAGAGCCTCTTGTGATGCAAAAGTACAACATGAAGGTGGTTCATTACACTGTGGCGAGCCCTAATAAATTAGGGACTAAGGAAGAAAAATGACTGAAGGAAAAATAAAACTTTATAATTAGGAAACAGAGTAGTAAACCTGGGCGAAGCAGTGGCACAGTAGGTAGCTCTGTCGCCTCACAGCAAAAAGGTCACAGGTTCGAGCCTTGGCTGGGTCAGTTGGCGTTTCTGTGCAGAGTTTGCATGTTCTACTTGCGTACGCTTGGGTTTCCTCCGGGTTTTCCGGTTTCCCCCCACAGTCTAAAGACATGCGGTAAAGGTGAATTGGGTAGACTAAATTGTCTGTAGTGTATGAGAGGGAATGGGTGTGTATGGATGTTTCCCAGAGATGGGTTGCGGCTGGAAGGGCATCCACTGCGTGTGCTGGATAAGTTGCCGGTTCATTCCGCTGTGGCGACTCCAGATAAATAAAGGGACTAAGTTAAAAAAAAATTCATGAACGAGTAGTGAACCTTTCAACGATTAAGCTCAGATCTCTCCGAAAACAATAGAAGAACAATAATTGTGTATTAAATTTAAGATTCAGAGAGCATCAAAACTGAAATGTCTTTTAATGAAATTGCAGCACTGTATCCATCCATAACAGCAGGTACCGCGGACAACAACTCTTCAGTATGATGTGTGTGTATAGAGAAGGCACTCATTTACTCACTGCTATGTGAAAATAAATGATTTCAACTTTTTACCCACGGCAGCGTTCATTTGTCATACTGTAAGTTTCAGAACAATTTGGGGTAGCAATTTGGCCAACATAGGAACATTCTGAAAACGTAGCCCTATATACATTTCTGGGGATAGCAAATTATGTAGCCAGAGCTACGTATGGCTGCATTTCCTCTTTAAAACGAACGTTACGGGGAGGTATGACGTCATTCCTTTTCGCCCTTACCAGCTGACCACTTACTTCTGTGTCGATGGCTTACCCGCTGTGGCCAGTTCATCCATTAGCTCGACATGTATGTCAGTGGACTTAAGAGTTGTGTTGACCACAACAATGGGATTCAAGTTCGGTGAAGAATGGTTCCAGAAAGCAGGTAAGACAAAAACAGAAGCCAAAAAATAAAATAAACAAGTAAATAACAGGGTGAGAATGTGGTAAAATCTAAAAAAGTGGTAAAAATCAGACAAGGCCTTTTTTTTTTTTTTTTTTGGATAGCTTTTTAAAACTGTCGGTTAGGGTTTAGGGAAGTTGGAGGGTGGAGAGATCGGTTGGTTGGTGAGTCAGTAAATCAGTCAGTCAACAGCAGCCTCTGGTGGACTTACGTGAGAACAGCAGGCGCGAATGGCACTTGCAGGAGAACTTTGAGATCTAAAAAAAGCATACACAGTGGCCTCTGGTGCATTCACAAAAAACAAAAAAAAACAAAAAAGCGCACAAAAAATCTTAGCTCCTGGGACGTATTTTGCTCTCTCCAAAAATGTAGATAGGAGTATGTGATCAGAATGAACCTGGGTTGAATTTAGCATGACAACGGCAACATTGTGGAATGGCGTTTTTAAGGCATAAAGACTACTTTCTTTGTGAATGACTCCTCATCTGGACAGATTATTCGTCAAAAGTGCATGAACCAAACCATGAGCCTCATACCATGATGGTTCAGGATGAATACATGTACCGTTACACCCCTTCATCCTGTTGATTAAATTAATACAAAGATTTAATTTATGCGTGATCTATCTTTTGAGAATCTGCCCTGGTCAGAAGACCCTTTTGTTTCCTTTAGGCAGGTAACATCCAACTTAACCTTTGATAATGTGTAATTGGCACTGACCGTTACAGTGAGTGACCATAGCCAGCAGCTGCTGCACAGTGTCAGTGAGCGAGGCCTGCTGTCGCTGGATCAGTGTGCTGTTACGAGTGGAGCTGGCCAGTTCTCCTTCCAGCAGACTGACCAACTCATTCTGTCTGTCCAGAAGCTCCAGCAGCTGCTGCTTCTCCTGCTGGATGGCCTGAAGCTCTCGGCTGTGCTTGGCCTCCATGTCTGCAAAGCGCTGTTCCATGTAGCTGAAAACAAACAAACAGACTGGTTTACATGTACAGTACTGTGCAGATGTTTTGGCCATTGTTACATTTGTTGTTTTAGTGATTATTTAATGACATATAGGTATTTGGCGATAACCGGGGTTTGGAAAAATCTAAAATTTTCTGTTATACCGTTCGTTTAGTATTTGTAAGTGGCTTTTTTATGTGTTTTTTTTTTTTTGCAACATTTTTTTAGGGTAACAGTATTTTCAGTAGAAAAGGAGCCCCCACATCAAAAGCTACAGGTCTACCCTAGATTCAGGAAACATTTGAAAAAGAAATATAGCATAGCAATATCCAAGCCTGCTGTAGACCTGAACAGTGCAGTGGCTTAGTTTATATCCAAAGAAAATAATGATAAGTGATGTGCGGATCGATACTAAAATATTGTTATCTTTGACACCAGCTTTGTATGTTCTAGAATTGATTATCTAATCGAAATATTGATATTTCAGTAATTTGGAGCAAATATATAGTTTTTTTGGAAATAGAAATACAGTGAAAAGTAACCACGATTACTCTAGTTTATCTGAATAATGCCAACTTAGTCGGAACTACTTGTTCTTCCGCCTGCCAAGTCATGTGCGTAATATGGCATTGTACAACTGCAGCACACGCTAGCTAGCCACTCAGTCCGAGCGAAGTTATGTGTGGAGCCAGTGGCGCAAAAAGGGGGTATGCAGTATATGCGGCGCATAGGGGCGCCACACATGGGGGGGCGCCATTGTGCCAAAACTATTTTTGAAATTATCCTTACTAAAAGTTTCAAATAAAAAATATAAATAAATAAATATGTTTTGTTAAAAATGTTTTTTTTTTTTTTTTTGCATTTTGTATGAGTATAATATTGTATTTTAATAAATAAAAAATTATACCATGAGTTGCATACGTTGGCACACACATTTTAATTCAAAATCAACACAATAACATTTTTTGGAACTGAAATGTTTTTAATCCTTCTATCAAAATCCATTTTATACAATATACATGTTTTTATCAATTTATTATGTGTCATATTGATACATCAGGCCTTTTGGTAACTTTTTTTGTTCAAAACTATTTTATTTTAGTTACAAAACTTGAACCCGCATACCTCTCAGTATATGTGTAGTTGCGCCCCTGTGTGGAGCTACTTCACTTCCATAAACTCAAACAATGTGGTTTGTGACACATGTAACAAAACAGTGAGGTACTGTGGTAAAACCACAGACCCAATCAAACACCTACATATAAATCACAAGACAAAATATGACTACGTCATGACTAGGTGGTCAGAAGAGGAGGAAAGGCAAAGGTGCAGCAGGCAGGCACTCTCCATGTACAGAGGGTGAAAATGTGGCAACGTGGCTGTTTTTTTGGGGCTTGAGTTTTTGTGACAATGATAAAACAAAAGAAAAAGTTACAAATCTTTAAGGGGACTGTATTAACATGTCACTAATTTAATAGGTGTGAATGTTTATTGTTTTATATTAAGATGTTCAGGCTGGCGTTTAAAGATATACATGCTCAGATACTTTCAATAATATGCAAGTTTGCTCTATTTTTGTATGCAAATTTTTTCATCAATATGCAATATACAAAAATAACTCGTAATATGTCTCATATTCAGCATAACATAAATTATCGGTATCTGATTTGTATCGCCGATACTCGCCTTTATTTTACTTGGCATCGGATCGGATAGAATCGCACATCACTAATATATCCAAAGATGCATTTTCAAGGTGTAAAGAAATCTGTATATTTGAAACTAATGATGAGAACAGAAGTCAATGACTTATTTTAATAATTTAGCCAGACATTCTAAATATTTTAAATGTTTTTTTTTAAAATAACAGATTTTGTACCTTTGTTTCAGAGAGTGTACAGTATGTTATATACAAAGAGAACATGGTTAGAGTTGGAATCATCATTTAAAGTACCCCAATTATGGATTTTTTTTTAAATGACCTTTCATGTAGTGTGTGACACATCTCTAAATGAATGAAAACATTCTGTAAAGTTTGAAAATGCACCGAGTATAAAGTTACTGTCTCTCATAAGAAAGCGTTTACTATGAGTTTAAAACAAGTGGATTTCAAAATTGATTCCAAGCTGTTTCAGGTGGATTTCAACATTAAATATTAGCAAAGAAAGCTTTCCCATTTTGCTGTGCAAGCAGTCCTGGGTTAACATCAAGTTGAAAAAAGGGAAAAATCTAAAATTCTTTTAACCTTGTGTACCCATTGTTTTACTGATGACTGCTACAGTACCGTAAACTTAATGTGTTAAGAATGGGATTCAAAGAAATGGTTGTTATTTAACGGTTTTGTATATTTTACTGAAGAATGCTGCCTTGTCAGACTGGTAAAAATTTTAGTTTTGTTGTCAGTATAAAATCTTCAACCCTTAATAAGCCATAATAATGCAAATGGGCGTTCCCTTTTTAATGTGCTGTATACAGTAGACTAATCACAACTAACTGGGTCATCACAGAGAGCAAAAGAGGACCATGTAAATGTACAGTAAAAAAATTGTTATAAGCACTTATTATAAAACAATCAAAGCGCTTTTTAACTTTGTGTGCATGTCAACCTGTTTTCCCAAACCAAAATATGAACTTTTTATTATCCATAATAGGGGCACTCTAAGACTGAAAATGTGGCAGAATTAGATGGAAGAATGAGAAACAGGTTTGGAGCTGTTTTTTGCCAGTAGTTTTGGCAATATTAGTGGCATTGTGAATGTTCAATTCTAAAAAGTACAGACAAGTTGTAATCCATTACCCCATTCCTTATAAAAAATAAATAAAATAAAAAACATATTGTTAATGGTTTTATTTTTCAATATGATAATAATCCTATACACGCTGATAATCTTATTAAATCATATCTGGAAGAAAAAAAACAGCTAACGAAAGACTGCCGGTCATGAAGTGGCCTCCATGGAGTCAAGAACTGAATATTACAACCCAAGCTCATTCTGGAAACGTAGCCCCGCGGACGTTTCTGGAGACCGCGATTTACGTGGCCGGAGGTTCGTAAAGGCCGCGTTTGGTTTTTTTCGAGCGAACGCTGCGGGGCGGTGTGGCGCCACTCCGCCCCTCCTCTTCGCGCTCGCCGGCCGACGGCTCGCCTCCGAGTGGAGGGCTTTCCCGACGCAATCAGTTTGTCCGCCTAGCTCACAGCGTTGTGTCGGCGGAGCGGAGGCCCCGGAGGAGGAGCCGGAGCCGGCCGCGGTGGACGACGACCGGGATTGAGTCCGGGGAACAGCAGGTTCCGGAAATCAGGTAAGACGAAAAACGGAATCCGAAAAATAAGGGCGAGAACGCGGTGGGATCCGAAAACGCTGTCGAAATCAAAGACCAGGGCTTTTGGTTTGTTTTTGTTTTTTTTCGATCCGGCGGCTTTTCGCTCAAGAACGGCGTGGGCGCCATGCGGCCTCTAGCGGATCCACGAAAACAAAACGCTCCAATACGTACCTCCCGGGACATAAATCGCGGTCCGCAGAAACGTCCGCGGGGCTACGTTTCCACAATGAGCCCGGATTGGAATATTACAGAGGCCACATGGGATCACCTGAATATAAATAGAAAAATTTGACAGCCAAATTCAATGTGTGCACATATTTTCCATATTTTCTGTAATTAGGAGGCATAAAATGAAATACGGATATGTACTGTTATTTTTATGAGCTCAACATTTTAGATAACCGGATTGCTGATGTAACAGTTGAAAAGCACTTTCTTTTTACTGTTTGTGTCACTCACTTGTCTGTACTTGCATGTTCCAGACAGTCTAAGCATTAGTTATGAGGATTTTGTCTGAAGGTTACATCAATGGTGCATTGACGTAACCTTCAGACAAAATCCTCATACTGTAACTTTAGTCATAATGTTTGAGTCACTTAACGCTGTAAAGCCTGACAAAGAATGTTATACTGTTTTTAAACAATTACCAGGACTTTGGATCAAAATATTAGTTATAATGGCCTGTAGTCAAGTAGTTACAAACATTTTACATAATATTTTACTCAATGTTTTGGGTCAGTCTAATTGGTTTTTGATTCAATTTATTGAACACATTCAATTACAGCAAGATTCTCATTTATCAGACAGAGAAATCATATCAATAGTTATGTATTTAAAACAAAACTCCTGGTTATATATTATTTTCTGTTGTTCAGCTGCAAGAAATATTTTCCATTTCTAAAATATAAATTCCAGGGGTCACACTTTACAATAAGGTTCATTAGTTAATGTTAATTAATGCATTTACTAACATGAACAAACAATAAACAATACATTTACTACTGTAATTGTTCATGTTAGTTAACGTTAGTTAATGAAAATACAGTTGTTTATTGTTAGTTCATGTTAACTCATGGTGTATTAACTAATGTTAACAAGCATGGACTAAGATGTTCATAATGCATTAGTAAATGTTCAATTATGATCAATAAATGCTGTAAAAGTGTTGTTCATGATTAGTTCATGTTAGTAAATGCATTAACTAATGAACCTTATTGTAAAGTGTTACCATTTCAGGTGTTGGTTAAAACAACAACTTCTTTTAATATGGAGAATATTCCTTCTATTGTATGCTGTTGCTTTTATATAGAACACGATTTAAATCAGCCTTTAGGCTCGATCGTCATGCTCCCTCCTGTTGGTCCTAAATCTGGCAACCTGCGCTTGCGTTTGTTTTGATCCAGGAATGCAATACCTAGTTCAACCACAAGGTGTCAAATTTACATACTGCACCCTTAAGTAACAGACTAAAAAATACCAGCGGAGTATTACCTGTTTTTTTGTATAACTTAATTTACAATACCAACTACAATGCCAACTTGTCCAGAATATGTTTTACACAGCGGATACCCTTCCAGTTGCAACCCATGACTGGGAATCACCCATACACTCTCATTCACACACATACAGTATGGACAATTAGCTTACCCAGTTCACCTATAGTGCATGTCTTTGGACTGTGGGGGAAACCGAA